CTGCTTTTTGCATTAGTACTCGGATACTTGTGAGGTTGGCTGTGGGGGAAAATGTCTCCTCATAGTCAACACCCATTTTTTGATTGTACCCCTTGGCAACAAATCGGGCTTTATACTTCTCAGACCCGTTGATATTATATTTGATAGCATACACCCATCTACCCCCCACTGCTCTCTTACCCTCGGGCAAGCTGGTTAGGGTGAATGTCTCATTCTCTCTAAGTGACTGCATTTCCTCATTCATTGCTTGGATCCACTCTTTGGATCTTTCTGAGGCTACTGCTTCTTTAAATGAGACAGGTATGTTGCAAATAACTCAATAACAGTAATCAATGTTACTCTGGACTAGATCGGTATCATCAGACATAGAGTTAGATACTTTGCAGTCTGTGTATCTGTCTGGCATTCTTTTCTCTCTCACAGGATACCGTCTGGGCTCGGGCTCAGGCTCAGTCTCACTCTCGCCCTCTACTGGCTGTGTTTCATAAGAGCTAAATTCTGATTGGTCACTGATATCTTCAGATTTTAGTCCACTTGGAACACGGAAACCTCGATTCGTATTGCACAAAATCAGCAGGTGTAAAGTTAGTCTGTGTCTGCTGTTCTACACCAGTTTTACCTTACAATTGTGTGCACCATGTGCACTGTATATTGTAAATAGTAACTGTAACTCTATTTTGAATTTAAATGTATTCCTTAGAAGTGTTTTTTATTCTATATTTTTTATTATCTCTATCTGACTGTTGCACTGAGCCAAAGCAATTTCCAAGTCTGTGACTTCCTGTTACTTTCGTGGCAATAAAAATGATTCTGATTCTGATTCTGATTTTAGTCACAAATTGTATCAGCCTGTGCTTCTGCACTTTCTTATTGTCAGGAAAATAGACAACATATGCCGGGCTGTTTTTGTCATGTCCAATAAATACACACTTTTCACTTTTTGGATCCAACTTCCTTTTGTCTTGTTTATAAACAAAACACTCTGACCCAAACTTCTGCATTTTAGATAGATTAGGCCTTCGACCTGTAAGGGCTTCAAATGGAGTCTGCTTTGTGCGTTTATTATAACATCTGTTTCTCACAATAGCAGCGGTCTGCACCGCATGAGTCCACAGTTCTTTTGGAAGACCACTGTCAATTAACATGCATTGTGCCATATCAAAAAGCGTACGCCAATTGTGCTGTGCAGTGCCATTTTGGTGGGGAGAGTTTATATATATATATATATATATATTTTTTTTTTTTCATTTATTTTATGAAAGTACAATACAAACATGGCAAAGTGCTGTTCGCAATAATAACATATGAGGGAACATTGGCAGTCCAGTGCAAATAGTGAGTGCAAAAGAACGAAAAAACAAAATATAAAACATAAAATAAAAAATACAGTAAAAAGTGCAAGGGGCTCATGGATGCAGATCAAAGGCAGTTCATAAAGTCTGTAGTTAGGTAGAGTCTATGGGCATTTCACTTAAATAGGAATACAATTTTGTGGCATTTGGTCCTTTCATTCGCTCCAAGGAATTAAGGTACATTTTAAAATCATTTTAAAAAAAAAAGAAATACATTAATACAGAGTTCCATTTTTTTGTTATTTGTTAGTACCATGCCAAACGTTACATGGTCTCTTGAAATGACTGGCGTTGAAGGAAAAACATTTTGTACCATCCATCCATCCATTTTCTACCCTTTAATCCATTTCTGGGTCAGGGGGGTGGCAGTCAGAGATGCCACCCAAGTCTCATAGCACCAGCCCCTCACTGACCCTCTGCAGGTGGTGAGTCCACAGGAGGACGGCTGCTCTCTGAGTGTGAGCATAGCCTTGATCTTTCAGTGGGGGCTTTGGGCAAAGTTGGGTTAAGTGTCTTGCCCAAGGACACAACGACAGCAGTCATCAGCGGGAGTCGGTGGAGAAGGTGTAGAGGTGGGAATTTTTTTGGGCATTTTGTACCCAACTTTGTAAATCTCTCCAAAATAATTCAACAGAGTCACAATAAAAAAACAGATGGTCAGTTGTCTCCACATGAATATTGCAGAATGTACATAGATTTTCTTGTATGTTAAACCGTACTCGAAGTAGTTCTTTAGAGGGGTAAATATTGTTCATAATTTTGAAGTGTGTTTCTTTGGCCTTTGGGGCTATAGGGAAGGAAAAATACATAGTTCTACTGTAAGTTTAGAGACTGTCTTTTTATCAATTTTGTTTAGGATATCATTTTTATTTTATAAGCCAGGGAATAATTCATCTGTCAAGTTTTTTCTAATGAAAAAATTATTACATTTCTTATCTAAAAATGATATCCCGCGTATCCTTGGAGAGGGTAAATGTGTTTGCGTTGTCTGATGAGCTAATGAGTTTTTGGATTGAAAAATTAATTCTTTGGGCATTACGTAAACGCATGAAGTCTAAAAGTGAGGCGTTAAAATTGTGTTTAATGCAGAATTGATCATAATCTAATACATTTCCTTCGTTGTCCATAAGGTGCGACACTGACCAAATGTTTTTTTTAAACCAGTCTTCATAAAATAATGATTTGTTGCGGTGTAGAACATATCTGTTGTTCCAAATCACTGTTCGGTGTGGAGAAAAGTTATGGACATAGAGCATTTTCCAGTAAAGTAAAATTTGCTTGTGGAACTCTGATAAAGATACAGGAAGCTTGTTGATATTGAAGTCACATACAAGCAGTAGGTTCAGACCATCGAATTAAAAAAAAATAAAGTTAGGTATACAGTACCAAAGAGATTGATGATTTTTAATCCAAGATTTTAACCAGTTTATCTTTAAGGTTCCGTTTTTGGTGGGGAGAGTATGGGGCAGACCTTTCATGTTTCATACTATGTTTAATTTGTAAGGCCTGGAATTCTTTCCCTGTGTACTCCGTGCCATTATTTGACCTGAAGCATTTGACTTTGCCATATGGAGCCGTATCTGCTAGAAACTTTTCAGTAGCAAGTACAGTGTCACTTTTATTCTTTAAGAAATCTACAAAAACCGCACTGGAAAAGTCATCAATGAAGGGAATCGCATATCTGTGACTGTCTCTAGACTCCGGGTGAATTGTTCCTGCTAAATCAGTGTGCACTAGCGCCAGAGGCCTTTTAGCTCTTATATCTGGTTGTCTGTTTCTAGTCTGGAAAAACTTCCCCTGCGTACACACTTCACACTGTAGATGTTGGTTTGGCGACCCTTTGATTTTCATACCATCAACAACACCTTGTAACCTCTGGATATCATCATAGTTAGAATGTCCTAAAATCTCATGCCATGTTTGCATGTCAAAACACCCCTTGCATTGGTCATCACATTCATTGTTATTAGCAGTGTGTAAATAATACTGTCTGGCATGTTCGGGAATGTGGAATTTCGTACCGTCAGAGTGGCCCCGTTCAAAGTGGCTGCTTTCACCGAGAATATGTCTTGTGGGTAGGAAGGGATGTACAGTGCTCGTCTCAGCGTGGCGCGCAGATGCCTGCCACAGCTGTCAATCAAACTGACCTCAGCATCTCCGCGGCGCACTGCTACCCCCTTGCACCTTGTCCCATCAGCCAGCTCCACGCAGTGTGTCTCGGCCTGGAATGCTTGGTCGAAGCTCTTAAACTTTGCGAGATCCGTAATTATATGCAAGGTTGCCCCGCAGTCGACCATCAGGCCCTTTATGTCGACACCTGCAGACCCCTTGCTCACTCGGAAAGCGTACTCCTGGTCTCCTGCAGTCTCCTCAGAGGCTTTGTGCGCGTCGTCCCGGTCTTTGCGCTGTTCCCCCCTGCAGGTGGCGTCCCGGTGTGTAGAGCGTCTGCAGTGACTGCACCACAGTTTGCGCTGACAGGCTCTGGCCAAGTGCCCCTTCAATCCACATTTGAAGCACGTAAAAACCGCCGCTGTCCTGTCCGCTCCTCGGCCCGCTCCTCGGCCCGCTCCTCGGCCCGCTCCTCGGCCCGCTCCTCGGCCCGCTCCTCGGCCCGCTCCTCGGCCCGCTCCTCGGCCCGCTCCTCGGTCACCTGTAATCACAGCAGGTCTCCATCTCTGCTGCATACGCGCTTTCATCACGTTATCCTCCGCTGCACAAGCTCGCATCCTCTCAGTGTCCGCGTAGCTGCGTAACTTTGTTTTGAACTCAGAAAAAGTTATGGACTCATCGAGCTGTGTGACATGGATCACAAACGGTTTGAAGAGTTCAGGCAGCCCTTTGAGGACCATCGCGACCAATAGTCCGTCACTTAGGGCCTCACCAGCATTTCTCAGCGCTGTGATAGCCGTCTCTGCGCGAATCACGTATTCAGTCACACTTTCATTCTCACTCTTTTGAAGTGACGTCAGCTCGGTATAAAGGCTGATTATACGTGGCTTTCCTTTGCCTTGATAATAGTCTCTCAACATTTCCAGGGCTTTTCGTCCATCATCGGCTGCTTCCCGCATTACCAATGACAAGCTTTTATCATCCAGGAATTGAATGAGTTCTGCGTAAGCCACTGCATTTTTGACGTCCTGTTCAAGTTGCTCCTCGGCGTCTCCCGCATCGGGTACATTTAATATGATGTCTTTCAGGCCCTGCAAACGGAGGTGGCCCAAGAACTTTGTCTCCCACAGTTCATAATTTTTCTCGTCTCCATCAAACAAGAGCCGAGACCGGCGGCTTAGATCTCCGACCCGTTTACTCATGGTTACTCTGGGTTTTTCTGGGTTACTCTGGGTTACTCTGGGTTACTGGGCCCATAACCTGTTGGCAGAGGTAATCCAGCAGCAGTACCGCGTCTTAAACCCAAATAAAATATAGACGTAACCGAAAGATGTGGAGGAAAGATAACTCAGGACACACTGCATTTCGTTCATGCCATTACGCGCAACACAGCTCAGCTGCGGCGCTGGACAATTTATTCACCACACCCATCGGTAAACAGAGAAAAACACAAATACAGAGCAAACATTCATCATCATACAGTAATAATAATTAATTTAAACTAGACTAATAAAACCTGTCCTGTGTTCCCTGTGTCAGTGCTGCTGTGTCCCCGCATGTGGACGTCTCTGGAGAACGGACGCGTGACCCCGTGGCCCCCTGGTCCGCCAGCAGAGGGCGTCACACTGCACTTCAGCTGTCTGCCGGGCTTCATCCTCATAGGACGCAACTCCACCCAGTGCAACAAAATGGGCAAGTGGGACAGCCCCAAGCCCGTGTGCCACTGTAAGAACCTCTCAGTAGCAAATCATAATCACTTTGTCTTTGTCTAAAATCTCTCTTTCCATTTTTATAGTTGATCGACACTACAGAGGTAAGTCTCTTTTTTGCTATGTTGTAGGTTTTCACCACAATGAGTCAAACATGAGTAGCATGTGTGTAAACCAGGTATGGGCAAACTCTGGGTAAGCTGCTATGGGATAGCCTGGCATACTTTTGTCTCCATTACATTTGGCCATGTATTTAATTATGTCGATTTAAAAGGATGCAACCTTGAAATGGGTCTTCTACCAGTGTCACAAAATCTGCATTTAGTATTTTTGTATTTATGCTTCTCTTGCTTGGACATGGAGCCAAAATTTGAAATGAGCATGAAAAGATACATGTGTTATCTCCGTCGGTCCACGTCAACAGTGTAATGCTCTTTTCAGACTGGTACTAAATAAGATTTTGCACACATTCCTGTCCAGTTCTACCTGTCTTCTGCAGCACATTGTGTGGAGTTATCTCAGAATATTTTTGCGATGAATTGTAAACAAGCTTCTTCAACGCTGATAAAAGAAACAGCAGTCTCCAATCTTAGGGGTACAGGGTACACAGTTTACTGCATTTTGTGAATATACTTTAATATAACTATAATGACCCTACTGTAGGAAAATAAAGCTCAGTGTGTGTGTGTGTGTGTGTGTGTGTGTACAACCTATATTGTATGCATATTATGGCTTGGGAATCTGGAAATGTTCCTCTCTGTGTAATCTGTGGAACATTCATATCTCTTCTTTTCTCTGATATTTATCAATCTCCATTTTATTTCATTTTATTGATATTCAATACATACTTGTGCACAAGACATTCTGCTGGTCCCTGGATCAGTTATTTATTTATTTTTAAATAGTGAAGTTATTAGAAAGAAATCCTGATATCAATAATTGAGATTGAGAACATTGTAGATTGCTATCATTGTAATGTATAAATCTAATGTATTTATTTATGAACTCACATGATGGCAATTTAAAAAGCATTAGGATCTAATTTCGACCGCTTGTATCCGTGATCTCGATAAATATAACACACCCTTCAGTCCCCTTTCTTGAAGAGAGGGACCACCCCCACGTTCTGCCACTCCAAAGGCAATGTTCCCGACCGCTGTGCAGTGCTGCAGAGACTTGTCCAGAGACTTAAGATAAGTCAGGTCAGATCTCATCCACTCACAGAGCCCTGCCACAAGGAGGCTGCCAACAACCGTAATGACTTAGGCCAGAGAGATGGAAGTATCTGTCTCAACCATAGACTGTATATATTAACGGACAGAGCCTATCTCCGCTGTTCTAACTAATGGGCCAAAAAATTTGCTCTACTGGAGCAATCCAAAATGGCCGCGAGTGGTCCCGCCCACAAGAAAATTGTGAAAAAACGCATCTGCGCATGCGTCAGCCGGCGCAGCTCCATTCATTTGAACGAGAGACTTCAAAAATTCACAGCAAGTAAACTAGAGTGGACCAAATAAATTCACCCCCCTCAGCATTGACACACATGTGGACCGGAGCTTTGGGCCACTTTTGAGCTGGGACCCGCCCCCACTGGTCTCAACATCCTCAGCCTCTGCCTCCTAACCCTGCCCAACAATATCCCAGGTCAAATGTCTCCTCCTGCATTATTGCCATGTTAGCAAAAGCACTGCTTCCCCCTATTGAGATGTCAGACAGTTTCCCGTGATCTCTTTGAGGCTGACCGACGGTCTTGCTTCATGGACACTCCAAACTCCATCCAGTCCTGGGGTTTTGCCTCTGCAACAGTGCCATAGTATCAATAGTACTTTTGTCCGTCCAAAATAGGACTATACAGTTTAAAGGTGACACTATTTAATGCCACACAGAGGATGTGGCTACATGTCTCCAAAGGGAACAAATGTCCCTTTAGAGCAGGCAGAAAGAAGCAGTTTGTCCTTTAATGTGACATAAACAAAATTACCTGTTATTTTTTGTTTTTGAAATTACCTTGATACTTACTTTATACTATCCAGTTACATGTGCAGTGGCTCTTTTTGATTTGAATTATTTAGCACTTAAATGTTCAAAATGTTTTTACTTCCTTTACTTTACTTTTGCTATCCGTGGTGATTGCAGCTCTTGCCTCTCCCACTGGAGGGCAATGCCTCACTGTTCTCTCCAACACGACTCGGCCTAAGAACAGTTAGAAGGACCACAGCCGAGGCATAATCTTGTAGAAGCGGTGGAAGATGTCAGATCGCCTGGGCTCCTGTAATAACGAATGGGCCGTTTCACACATACCAGGACAGGGGCAGATAAGACTTTGGGCAGCACATAGATACAGACAGGACAGGAATAACACAAGAGAAAAGAGAGGAGGAGGAACATGACATGCAAATGTAAGCTGGCAGTCATATCAAATGATCTCAATATTGCAATTTCTATGTGTTGCTGATAAAAAAAATAAGAGAAAATTATTGTGCAGGTTAATTCATGGTTATTGTGATATTGATTTTGGAATTATTATTTTAGTACTGTCTTCACTCGTTCCTCATCAAATTCAAATCCGGAGATCTTTTCAGCTCCATCAGGCCTATATCAGGAATCAGGATAAACCTGTGCCTGTTAAATGGTTTCAAACTTGGTATGTTATGATAACAAATAATCTGACATGAACAGGAATATTATAGGCCTTTTAAAACAGAAGAATTGCCCCCAATTCAGTTATACTGTAGAAACGATGTCAGTCAAAACATGCTAGATGTTTGCTTGACACTGAAATGCCGCGTCAACTCGGGACAACAGTGGGCAATGGTGGCGGGTAGTTTGCACCCGTGTTGCTTTTCACCACAGGGAAGACAGGAACATGTCTAAATCAAAACACTTTCAACTTTCATAATAAGTCTTTTAAAGTCACAGGACAGTGTATCCAGGACCGGAGGGAATCGCATCTGTCAAGTTTATCATCCACATGAATCCATTAATTCATTATTGTAACTTTCAAGCATATTTTTGGAAGGACACAGAAAAGAGACAAGGCTTTGCTTTTCACTTTTCAACAATTCCCTTTATGGCCATAAGAAGGCGACATGCATTTGTATTGGTTCTTTTTGATGATTATGTTAAAACTTAAAATTAAGACCTGAAGAGGCAAGTATATTTACCTACATGTATTAATCGCCTCCTGTCTGCCAAACTATAAGGGCTTCCCCAACGCGTTTCTCCACAAACCACAGTCCGAATATGGTATCAGAGGCTCTTTATTGGCCAGTAATCCACAATAATCTAATATTTTTCCACTGTCACTGACACTGTAAGAAACAGTTTACCTTCAAACCTAATTTAGGAGTATATTCACATTTTGGCTCCTACAAGACCTATTTCTTGTATTTGTCTTTCTAACCACACTTCACAACTTCTTGACAAGAGTATCTGGCTGTATTGCTGTGTCTGCTTATCCCTTAGTTCCCGACTGAGCTATTTTGTTTGCTGATTATGAGTGGTAATGAGCGCGTGTCCTGTCATGTTTTGGGAGGGACATCAGAGTTGCAGAACGGAGCGTTTTGTGCCGCACCTGTCTGCCTGAGCACAGCGTTTAGAGGCTGTGATCAGCACTTTACTGCACTGTGTAGACGCACTCCAAGCCCAGACAGCTCCACGCACTGGATTGATGTGGCGTGGACACGTTTTACGCAGCGTGGTTTAGTAATTATAAAGCTCATCTCTGTGTAATGAGACGGGAGCTGGAGCCGTGTGCAGGACATGGTGTTTCACTCAACATTCAGGGATACAATTTGAAGCATATAGCAAAAAATTATGATTATGATAGGTAATAATTGCTTTGATTGAGTGGTTTTTATGTCATTTGAGTGCATTCTGACTCGTAAGACAAGATTTGGAAATGGAACAAAGTCATTTAGTCTAATTTCAAGATCTGTTGCTTTATTTTCTCATTCCAAGGGAGATATTTCTTGTATCTGTATATTGCAGAGTATATTCAGCAAGTCTCTCTTGTTTGATATTTTCAGCCATATTATAGCTTTGTTCCCTCCTCAAAAACTTAACTAGAGTTTATTTTAGCTCCACCCACACTTTAACTTGTATTTTATCAGCTTTTACTGCAAACATCTTTGTGGCCTTGGTCTGTGAAAGGTGCTGTATAAATAAAGTTTACTTACTTAGTTGCTATTAACTTATGGCAAAAAATTAGCAGAAACTCGCCCCATCTGACCAAATGCTTCGTTATTAAACATTTTTACAAAATTTACAAAGGCAACCCTTCAATTGAGATCTAGATCTAAATAGACTGTGACTTCTTACTCTTCCCTCTAGATGGGAGTGTTTGTTAATTCTTCACAGCTCTTGCCAATGTTCTTGTTTATCCCTTTAAGAAATGTTTTCACATTCTTAATTATGAAATGCCAAAGTAATTATTCTTAAAATCATGCTTTAGGGGCAGAAATTACCACATTTGGTCTCCAAAAGAAGAAGGTCCCCAGATTTACTGAAATCGTGTGAATCCTTTGTTAGTGTAACGTCCGCTCTCCCGAGTCCACTCAGATTAAGATTCTGTATGTTGAATGTGTTGCCTCTTGTCCAGGATCTTGATAAAGAGATTAGTAATCACCGGTTACAGAACATAGGAATGAGGAGCACAAAGCACAAGATAAATGAACATTAATTCTATACTAAAATAAAATAAGAAAAACTAACATTTCTAACTATAGCATAGTAAAGAAGCAATTAAAAACTCTCAAGCTTTAGCATAATAAGGAAGCAAATCGAAAATGTCCAACTTTAGCATAATGATAAATATATCTAATTATTCTGTAATAAAGAAGCAAGTGTAAAACTACAGTATTATATACACGCTTCTTTATTACAGTAAAATTAGTGCAAGAAATGTATAGCATAGTTGTATGTATACATCTGTATGTGTTAGCAGCATGAGGGTATGGGACAAAGTGACCCTAACCCCAGTAAAGTGTCACATGTTCCTCTATATTGCACATTCTGACATTATTGTCAGAATTTTTTATTTATTATTGCACAGATGAGTAAAGTAAAGTGACAGTGGACAGAGCAGATTGCATGAGGTAAGAAG